AGTAGATTACCGGATACAGGAGAAGTAGATGATTCATTCTGAACTGGAGAGGAAGATGGTTGACCTTCATTAGGAGGGACTTCTTCGGTCTGACACGTCTCAGATTCCTTACGTTGATAGTAAGAAAACAATTATGTTTTCGCCTTTTTATTTGGTGGTTGAGAAGATGTCATGATGAAATATACTGAAATCTGCATAATCAATTAAACAAATACACACCGCAGTCAAACACTAGATTCTAAGTAATAAAGTAAATTTGGATACAAACTTAATGCATAATTGCACTGTACAAACTTAGTTTCTAAGTAAATAAGATTAAGTAAACTAAAGCAGTAAAATCAATTGGCAAATTGAAATTACCTGTTGCTGACTTGCTGTTGTCCTTGTCGTCTAATCCGTAATCACTACTGTGAAGGGATCAAGCCATTAAGGGAATTGTCATCTAATCACTACTTTCACTGTGAAGGGATCAAGGAATTAAGGGAACTTGATTCCTGATTATAGCAGCTGCTGCAGAGAAAGAAGTAAGAACGAAGAAATACAGGGGAGGGGTCGAGGGGATCTCCCTCTGTTCGGCGCCAGGCGAGAGTCTCGGGGAGGTGGGGAGGCCGGGAGCTCTGTTCCGACTGTTTGTCTTCTAATATTTTTTTTTAGACTTCAGAATTCAGATTATTAGTTTGGGACTTTGGGGGCGGGAGATTATTAGTTCACTCTTTGAGATTATTAGTTTGGGTATTGGGTTTTGACTTTAAAGATTTCAGTTTTGTTTGGGGCTTTGGGCTGGCCGGCTGGGCTGGGTCTTGGGACTCAGGGACTAGGCCGGGCCCAAATAATCCAATCATTAAAAGAGTGGCTGGGTTGGGTCTTGGGGGTGGGGGGGGGGGGGGCCAGGGAGGGCTGGGCCCGGGCCCAGTGTGGCCCCCCCTGTATCCGCTGATGGACCGCACCTTTTAGGGTCACTCTTGTAATTTTGCCCATTGCAAAACCACACTAGGAAGGCGCTGTTCACGACTACCGAGACGCTGACCGTTCGCCAGGCGCGGTGTTCGATCCCTGACGCGGATCGCTGCGCTGGCGCGCTGTTAGCCGTTGGATCGCCACCACATCCAATGGTCCTGGGGACCGCTGACTCGGGAACGCGGACCGAACACTGAGAGTGCGTTTTTCGGGCTGCCCTAGCGTGGACCGCTCCCCCGTTGTGCGGTTTGCACATAGAACGCACCTTGAAGATGCAATTTATATGTAAAAGTGCTTTTTTGGAATTTTTGTGGACTGGGTGCGATTTTTGTATTTTTTTTTTTTTTTTTGAAATGTGCTATTATTGGAAAAAATCCACATTTATGTAATTAAACATTATTTGGAAAACACGAAATTATCACTCATGGGCTAATAATAACCATGTCGAACATCTTGACGATCCATGCAATGAGACAGAACTTCATGTGTCTTAATATACAATATACCACTAGGTAAATAACCAGCGCCATAGATATGCATGAGTAAGACTAATGTCTTACTGAAGAGAAGGTATTTAGTAAAACTAACAACATAATTGTACAAAAGATGCATGCAATTAATGTACGAAATAACCTGGCGCTTTTCTTTCATATGCTGATTATAAGGTTGGAGAAAACGCGTTGATTTTGGATCCGCGTTGTTGGATATATGCGGATGCTTCTTTTGCTTTAATAATTTGTTTCCCGACCCATTTCTCCCCATTCTTTTGCTCCGCTGTCAATGGCATCAGCACAATACTCTTTAAGGGTGTTTAGTTTTGGTTAGCCCGGACCGTTTGGTTTTATCCGAAATCGGATCGAGATCGGATTGGGACCGGATAGTAAATAATTCAATCTCATATTCGAGTTTAGATTTGAGATAAAAAATCGTTTGAGACCGGATCGTAAATCGGATAAAGACAGTATAAAGACCCCAACACCCAAAACTTAACCAACTTCTTACCCTTTGAGGCCTCAGGCCACTCAAATTTCCACAAACTCAATCTAAAATCAAGACCAAATTGGGACCGGACCGGATCAAGACTGGACTGTATCCAATCCAATCTTTGGTCCTTATACTCCCAAAAAACCCGGACCGGGACCGGATTAATTTGGGCCAATTTAACCGGACCGGACCATATAACCACTCCTACTTTGGTGATAGTTAAATTAATGTATTGTTATCAATGCATGCATAATAATATACATGTATGGCTCAGAGGGGAATTTTGAAAGTTACGTACGTAGCACGAATACGTATGAGCCAAAAGTACTGAGTACAATGATGTAGTATGTACATAATATCACAAAGTCACTCAGCCTAGTGGAATAGGTGTAGTATATTCTTTTCTAGTTCCTGTTTCGATCCACATGGGAAGCTAATTATTTTAGCAGCTTTATGTATGTGTGTATATAGGAAAATTTATTTTCAATAATCATATTAGTTATATCTCTTAATTATGAAAATGTATGTGCTATACATTGTTAATTATTCATTTTTAATATGTATTGAAGTTAATGTAAAAAAGTTAGATTTTAAAGTTATTTCAATGAATATATTGTGAAGGTACAATAATATTAAAATTTGCTTTATTTTTATTTTTATTTTTGTTTGTCACTTTAGTTATTTTGCAATAACGTGCTAAAAAAATTCCCCCCGACCGTTGATTCCTAGCTCCACCCCAGCATGTATATACGAAAAATTGTGTATTGTAGTTTACATAGTTTGGTACATGTGATGGTTATTATAGTTTTAAACAAGTTAACTTACTTTTTAAGTGAAATGTCACTTTTACCCTTTGTATTTAACATGAAAAAACAACACATATAAAAAAGTTGGGTCATAGTTGAAGAAAAAAAAAACACAACAATCTCACTCAAAACTTGAGATTTAACTATCACTCTTTTTTAGTGATAGTTTGTGTCAAATCAAACAAACAATACTATGAAACGATGCATTGTCGGTAATGCATGTATTGTAACTATCTCAACTAAACTATCACCAAAATCAAACAACCCCTTAGTTTCAAAAATATTTCTACAATTTAATTTATAGAAATTGATGTATTATATAGTTTTAATTTCACCAAATATAAAAAAGTCAATAAGATGGATTGTGCTGACGAATCACAAGTAATTATCTGAATTAGGGCACCAATTTCAGTTTCCAGTGGGATACTGCATACAATACAATACATCAACCGATTCACGATAAGTAACTAAAATTTAAATAAAAAAATAAAAAAAATAATCTGTATAAATGTCATTATCAGCTAAATTATTCATTTGAAAAGCGGCAGACCTATTTTTCCATTTAGAGGAGCTATAATAGTTGTCTTTCTAATAATGAATGATTATGTGCTCCAAAATTTAGCTATATTACTTCAATAACATCAAGATGAAGGAGAGCCCAATTTACTTATCAAAACCAACTGAGGTAACCGCATTATTCCAATTCCACAAGACTGGCAAAGACAAGATTTTTAGAAAAAAAAGAAAAAAAAAAAGAAATTGAAATAAATTTTGATGATTGAAAGCCAGACCTAATAATTTTCATCCGACATCTTTCAATGTTTTCTCGACACGTTATAACTGTTAGTAAATGGTATATGATCAACGATAGAACCTCTCCAACAAATTGAGTTATTTAGACCAACTGTTTCTTGACAATAACTTCAAACCAAATTTGAACAGCTGTTGTCGTCCCTCCTCAACTCCTCACTAGGCTCGAATTCTATTGAAAAGAGTTTATCTAGAATTTTCTATATATGCATCAAAATTAATCTAGGATATCAAGATATCTTTGAATACTGAATTAAGAAAGTCAGCCAATATGGATCGTGGTTATACTATATCTGTAACATCCCGAACCTTTTCCTGATGAAGATATTGTCCGCTTTGGGCCTCAACCGTCACAGTTTTCGACTTGAGGTGCAATTTAAGGTGACTTCCCATAAGGTCACTCATCCTTGTTGTACTCCACAGTGAGCACGTTTAACTTCAGAGTTCTCAAAAGAACTCCTCCATTTCACCCCAAAACGCGTCTCGTCAGTTAAGATATGTTTTCTATTTACGAACCATGGATCTCTCATGTGCTTTGTCAATGTGATATTTGTCTAAGGTGTTACAATATCCAAGTAATAATTTCCCCAGTTTCAAAAAAAAAAAAGTAATAATTTCCCCACGTAAATGGCGCTAAGAGCCAAAACCACAATAAAGCGAAGTAATTTAGATCTAATTACTCATAAACGTCGGTGATACGTGCTCACATGAATCTTTAGAATAATGATAAGAATCTGATACCTAAATTTCATTAACGACCGTGCCCATGGTGATTAAGAGAGGGGTTAATTGACTAATAGTAGCGATTAGTTGTATATCCTAAGCCATGCCTAGCAATGTGGGTTGGAAAGGACTAATTATATAACTAACATGAAGCGAAACGTATACATTTGACTCCATTAAGAAAAGGTAATAAAACTAAGACACTCGAGAGACAAGAGTTAGTTATGGGTCCGGCTAACTAATAATTAACAATTATTTGCTACATTAATTCAAATTAAAGAAAATTAAAGAGTAATGCCATTTTCAAAAGGTCGTAATACAGTCCGAGATATCTGATAGAGTTTCATTAGCATATGCCCAAATAGTTTCAGGGGCTAGTCTGTTAGTGTTTAGCTAATCAAGTTTGCAAGATTCCTAATCCAATTGCTATTTTTCTAATAGAACAGAAAATAAAGTCTTTTTAACCCAAAAAGAAATAAACCCTGCTCTTATTAGCTAAGATGTCTGCAGTATGGTTGGGCTTTCAACTTTAGTCTTGATAGCATGGCCTCTTCCTCTCGTAGTTTTCGTCATATATTTCAATATTGCCTATTAAATTACTTTCCTCCAAAATAAGAAATATGATTTCAAACACGAAACCTCTCAAAGAAGAAAATATACTTAATAACAATTCGAACGTATTATTATGGCTTGCTTGACATCGAATGAGTGGATAGAGTTAGAGCAAGCAATAATTCATTTCACAAACGAAAAGAGACATAGTAAAACCAAGTATCATTCAGTTGCCCCTTCTGAAAGTAAAACAAAGAAGGATCCAATTTGAGCAACTAATGAATTCATCCTCCTTAGTCCTCAATATAATTATTGGCTTCTCACAACCAAAATTGAACTTGTTCTCAGGTACAGAGAGAGGCTTCTCACCCCCTAAAATTGCTAAAACTATAAGAACAATGGCCCAATTCCCTCCCTCTTATGCCGTCACTGAACAGCTCACAGTCAAAAGAAAACCTCAAAAATAAGCATACTATTGTAATTAACACAAGATTATGTGTATATCTATACCCAGAAGATTATGTAAATTTATACTCCCCTGAAGATTTGCTTACCCGTGTAGTAGAAGTACTTAATCCTCTAATTACCTCCTAATTAAACCCAGATTAGAGTGTCTAATTACTACCCTTCTTCTAAGAATCGATCCCGCCGTTCTCCCTCACCAGCAAATCGTACGGCGCCCAGAGCGCATCGAGCGGGCACGGCCGGCCCGAATCGATCCTCGCCCACGGCTTCCCCTTCCCGCTCCAATGCAACAAGCTCACCGGACCCGGATGCAAATCTCGGCACAGCCCCCTGTAATTGTCCCCGCCCAGCCCGTGCTGGTTCCACCGGTGATCCACCGACGCAATTTCCCCAGCAAAAACGAGCAAGAAAGGCGGCAGGGAACCCAGCTCGTAGATCCTCAACCTCTTCTGGAGCTCCATCCACTCAACGATCCTCCTCGTGTACCCACCGACCCTCCAACGCACCAGATCGATCACCATCACCCCGGTGTTGAAGTAGCAGGCGTCCCTCCCAGCGAACGTCAGCGACAGGGACGGGTTCGACCAGAAGGTCGGGGTGAAGTAGATGGTGAAATTGGCGTTGCAGTACTCCGGCGCGGCGAGGGGTTTCCCGAGGAGAGGGGTCGCGGCGAGATCCGCGACGTCGTCTACGAGGATGAGGTCGGAGTCGAGGTAGAGGATTTTTGTCAAGCAGGTGGGGAGCAGGGTTGGGAGGTAATTGCGGGCGTAGTTGAGCGGGGAATCGAGCGCCTGTCGGATTGAGGTGGAGATTAGGCCCTGGACTGGGGAAGGGGAGAAGATGTGGAGCTGGCAGCGGAGGTAAGGGAAGGAGCGGAGGATGGTTTTGTGGAGGGAAGGCAGGGAGGAGATGAAGTGGAAGCGGATGTTTTCCGGGCAGGAGGAGTGCTGGAGGGTGGAGAGGATCGCTGCCATGGAGCCGCGGAGGTAGTGGAGGTCGAGGGTCATGGCTATGTTGATGGATTGGTTTGAGCAGAAGTCGTCGGCGGGGATGGGTGGGCAGGCAGGGGAGTTGTAGAATTTGGGTGCCTCTTTGAAGGTTTGTTCGTCGGTGGCGAGAACGGAACTTACTCCGACGCCGCCGGCGCCGGCGAGAAGGAGGAGGGGGAGGAGGAGTTGGAGTTTTGGCATTGTGGGGAGGGAAATGGCGGAGTTTGAAGCAGGGAGAGTGAGTGCGTTAGGGATAGAAATAGAGGGGGAGTGATGAAATTGAGTGAGGCATTTGATCGAGCATGTGGTGGGCGGTAGTGTGTCGAGTGAGAGGAAAGAGGAATATGGGGGAGGGAGGGGCCGAGGAATTTGATTTTGAACGAAAGGTCTTTGAATTCACATTAGTAGAGTATTCAGTTCCACTCAACAACACTCTGTTTTGTTTCTCGTTGACTGTGGGAAGGAAAGGGAAGGATGGAAGGAGAGAGAGAATCGTACGAATTATTTTGTGAATTAATGATTAAAAATTAAATTCCGGGATCCAAGTCGGCTGTTAAATTTTCTTTGTTGGGGGTCGTCATAATTCATTACACGGGCCCATGGGCCATGGGATTGGGTCGGTACCTGTTTAATTTTCTTTTTTCACTGTTTGGGTTCAATTGAACCTTTGAGGGGTATAAACCCTAATTAAAATGAATTTGTGTGAGTAATTACTTATTTGATAAACTGATCCTAATTCAATAAGATATTAAGAGGTTATTATGGTATTCGTGGTTGGATTTAAAAAGTATGAACATTGGACTTATCTTGGATGTTAATTTCAAGAGTTGGATTCAGTGCCTCTGCAAGTGAAGCATTAATTCCCAAAATAATCAAGTAGTGAAAATGAATTTGAATCCAATCCATCCATAAAAAGAAAATATGACTAATTCAATATATCGAAATTTAATCCATTTAATCAAAATTTAATGGGCGGATGAATTCAAGGGTCATATTCATAGATTGTTATAAAATTATAGTTCGCCGCCATTTATTTTTACATTTTAACTGAAACTCCAATTCAAAAATTATATTTTGGTAAGTAAATTTTAACTTAAACTTTTAAGAAAGCAAAGAATGTGGGATATGGGGAATGTGCAGCAGTAGGGATGGCAATGGGTCGGGTCGGGGACGGATACTGCATATCCATTACCCTACCTAAAGTAGTTCGTGTTTTACTCATGCCCATACCCACATAAGAAACGGGTAGAATACCCAAACCATGCCCATACCCGTTCGGGTTTCGGGTATCCACGGTTATCCATGGGTAATAGTTTTCTTTATAACTCCAATCAATATGTTAATATTTACACGTATTCTCACGTTACGTAAGACGAAAAGCACGACAATAATCCACTAGAATGAAGAAAATTAATTAAAACAACACAATTTCATAAGAAAATTAAAGTTATATGCTAAATATAAAATATGTTAGAGAAAAATATTGATTATTTCTAGACAAAATACATATGCATGTGTATAATCGGGCGGGTTCGGGTTGGATAGTGAGAAAATCATGCCCACCCATTACCAGCAATATTCGAGTTCGGGTTTTACCCGTATCCACAAAAACTCTTTTGGGTTCGGGTTTTACCCTATCCGATTAGGTCGGATTCGGGCGGATATCCACGGTTACGGATATTTTTGCCATCCCTATGCAGCAGGAAAGGCAGCAACTAGGAAGCGGATTCGTCATCATATGAGGAATTATCACTAACCCTTTGAAACAATTTTAATTTTTAACAAAGTATTCAAAAGAAATCAAATTTTTAATTAAATTCAAATGAGTAATAGGAGTGGCAATTCATAATGAATCACATAAAGTTGACAAGAAGGTTGTGAAATGAAGAAAAGGAAGCACAAATAAAACTAGAGATTGAGGTTGGATAATCTTAGTTTACGTTAAAATATTTTTCTCTCAATTTTTGTGACTAAAATTGTGAACCAGTGGACCAGTGAAACCCGGGTAGAGATGGCAATTTTCAATTCAGTCCAACAATCCAATCCTCCAATCCATTAAAAACATTCAACTAATCCAATCCATCTATCCAAATTCAATTGATTGGTGAATTCATGGATCGTTTTACATATTGGTCCAAGATTGAGGATGTCATTTGGATTTATGGATAATCCACCAATTCACTTGATCAAATCCATGAATCCACCAATCCATGAATTCAATCCATTTGCCACCTCTAAACCTGGGTGGTTTATCTGGTTTCATGACAAACCGTAAAACACCGCTGAGTCCATTCCTGACCATCCAATCAAATTAACATAACCGCTATTGTAACTGATTTAGTGATTCTATTGACCCGACCGTTAATCCGTTTGGTTTCTTATAACAATGGGTGGTTTTGAGTATTGATATCATACACTTTGGTCATATTTCGAATGTGATTTTAGTTTTTAGCTGTAAAATTAAAATAATATATTTAGGGATTTCCTAGAGTAACTTGGGTATAATTTTAAATTAGGTAACTTAGATTAAATCTGAACCATTAAATTATATCCTAATTATTTTAAGCCACTGATTAAAAGAAAAAATAAAAAAATAGGGGGGAAAAAAAACGTCAACCAGGTGCGGGTGTCGGATTTCTTTAAGTTTTGCGGGAACACTTCTTTCCTTTTTTTTTTCAAAGATATTAACACTTCTTTCCTTGTAATATTTGATGTGTCTTCTTTTTCTTTTTATTTTTTCGTGTTTATTTTTCGTATTTTTTATTTAATACCTATTACGTAAAGGTTACGAAACATAGATATTTCTAATGTAATAGTTAAATTAGAAGCATTACGTAAGGCTTCCGTAATGACTTAGCAGTTTACGTAACACGAGGTTAATAATCATTACGTAAAGGGACCTTCCATTACGTAAGGTTTTCGTAATGACATTTTACAACTGTTGTGTAAAATACACATCGAATGAGTAAAGGTTACATAACGATAGTTATTTCTTACGTAACAGTTAAATCGAAAGCGTTACGTAAGGCTTTCGTAATGACATAGCACTTTATGTAACATGAGGTTGATACTCATTATGTAAAAAGACCTTTCATTACGTAAAGGTTACGGAACGACAGTTATTTCTTACGTAACAGTTAAATAAGTAGCGTTACATACGGCTTCCGTAATAACTTAGCATTTTACGTAACGGTAGGTTAATACTCATTACGTAAAGACACTTTCTATTACGTAAGGCTTTCGTAATGATATTTTACAACAGTTACATAAAAATATCATTGGTTACGTAACCATTACGTAACGCCTATAGTATTTTACGTAATGCGACCTTTGAAACTTGCTATAACAGATGAAAGAATTCAAGTTACCTTAGGAAATCCCAATACATTCATCTATAATCATCTATATTCATGATATTTGGTTTTGGTAGATAAGTTTTAGGGAAGTTGGAAGGAAAGGGAAGGAAATTAATGTACAAGAATCAAACAACATGGAAATGGGAATGTGCTAAGGCAGCAACTAGGAAGCCGATTCGTCATCATATGATAAATGCCAAAAAGACATTGGAACTCTGTTCTGTGAAGGACGCGCTCGCTGCTGCAAATGCCTTGCCGTGTGACCATTTTGATGATGGCATCCAGTTGGCAAACGGCGTTTTGTTTGAAATTATTTATGTTTTTTTTTAACACATTTTATCTTTCTCCCTCCCTACCTCCAAAAAGCAAAGTCCAAACGAATTAACCAAAATGAATGCATTGTTATCCAAGTACGCTGGACGTACATATCGCTCCCATGCATTGAAGCAAAATCACGTCATATTTTGAACGCATTCACCTTAACTATCACATCTAGTTTTTGTTGGGAGGTAATCAATTACAAGCTCCATTCCATTCACATAAACGTAGACAGAGCACCACATGACATAGATGCTCTTCAGATTCAAATCCATCGAGTCTAGTCGAGTCAAGTTTTCGAAGTCTACTTTAAGATTTATGAGATCCATACGGAGGCCGAGGATAAAGTACTTTTGAATTCTGATTTCAGCTCAAGTGATGAATCCAAGAAGTTTCTAATAAGATTTTCTTAGCTTAATAAGATCCAAATGGAAAACCTCATCTAAAACACGTAATTTCAAAATCTTGGAAGAAGCTCAAGGCTCTCATTATGAACACATAAAAACAATAGAATTGCGTACAGTACCGGTGCAGAATAACAATCCTATAGATGCTCTGAATTAGAAATTCTCTACTGAACTGAATTTCAAATATGAAGAAATGTACCCTTATTAATGACTACCTCTCACCAACTTTTGTTCTTGTCTTATTATTTATGTACCTGCGTCGTTTTGTCCGATGGTCCTTTAATTGGGAAAAAATCCCAAAGTACACTAGTTCTTAAAAAAAATTCCCAAAATACATAAGTTATAAAAAAAATTCCAAAAGTACACATGTTTGAGCATCACCGTTTTAGACAAAAGCGGTGAAGGTCATCACCGCTTTTGACTAAAACAGTGATGTATTCACCGTTTTTGACTAAAACGGTGATGTATTCACCGTTTCAAACTAAAACGGTGATTGCTTCACCGCGTGAGAGAAAAACGGTGAAGCACTGACCTGCGTCCAAACTTTAAAACAACGTAACTTTGTGATCGGTTATCCGATCGTAGCGAATTTTTTTTTGATTCCGCATAATTTTTCGAGATCTTGCAAGCCGCAAATTGCCGGAGGCGGTTTGGTCCCGCCTTCGTCTCGAAAAAATGTCGTTTGCTACCCCGAACGACCCTTTTTTCGATTTCGTCAAACTTTGAACGACCATAACTTTGTGCTCCACAATCCGAAAATCATGAATTTTTTTTTGATTTCGCATAACTTTTTAAGGACTACAATTTTTAGTAGGAGAGAATTTTCAAAAAATGAATTATTTATGGATATAAGGGGTTTTGGGAATAACTTTACCTTCCCTTTTCATGAATCCAAGTGCATTCCGAAATTATGTCTATGATAAAAATTGTAGTCCTTAAAAAACATGTGTAACTTGGGATTTTTTCCCCTTTAATTGGCCATAGACTAGTCGTAAGCTCTACTGTTTACAAATCTTTTGTATTGTCCTTCGCGACATCCGATAAAATTGAAACAAAATTTTTATATTTAATAATTATCAACAAATTATTTGAATGCACGACTTTTAAAACTTTTTTCCAGCTTAATGATAGTGAAACTTGTGAAGATAAAATTAGAAATATTGTTTGATTCAATTAATAATTGGCACACGAATTTCTCAAGATGCCTAATTTTTCTTATCTCCTTCCATATTTCCTTCAAATAATTGTATTCTTGGGAGAGCTAGAAAAAGGAAACTCGGATGA